CAGCCTTTTATTTTCTGAGACAGTCTAAGTTGCTAAATTGCCCACGCTGGGCTCCAGTAAGGGTGATCCTCCGGACTATCACAGAATATAAAGCTTCGCAGTAGGGTTGTGCCAAGCCCCGTTCACTCAGATCGGTACCTTACCACCTCCTCAGTCGCTGTCATACCTCGCACCTCAGTACTGCTACTCGTCTACTAGGTTTTACTTAGATTGAAAAGTTTTTTTTTTACCCAAAAGAAACAATCCATTTTAAATGGAAACTTCATAGTGCCTCGCTAAATGGGAAATCTTAATAAGCATTTGTCATAAAGTGAAGATACTCTCTTCCCCCCAAGTGCCATGCGAAAGGAAATCATGAATCAAGTCTGGCCCGACTGCGAGGAGGGTGGAGCTCTAAGCGTGGAACCTACTATCTTGGAGGAGAAAACACAAAACAAAGACAAGCCCAAGAAGAAAAAGAGAAGAGAGAGAGTTTGCGGCCTTGGTGACATTCTAGAGTGGCACGCTGAGCCTGCACCCTTGAACCAGAAAAAGTGAAACACCCGGAACGGTGTTACTAGCGTCCCCAACCCTGCAGCTGCCACCTGTCACCACAGCTGCCCCCCCACCCCGCGCACTCACTGCGGCGGCAGGCGGCGGCGACACACGCAGACTACACAAGGCGCGGCGGTCCAAACCTACTGCGCGACCCGCCGCCCCCGCACGGACGCCTGAGCGGTGAAACCGGCCTCCCGGAGCCACTTCCGGGCCTCTCTAGGAAGTCTGGAGGGCTCTGGATCTCTATGCCACCTGTGCTTGGGCTGCGGATTCTCTCAGCGAATCTTTCCACTTCTCTAGTCCTTGTGTTCCAGCGTCTCAGGAGCCCGTTCAGGGTTACCTCTACTGCTCCGCCCACCTCCAGTTTTTGCTTTTAGACTTTCACCTCCGTCGTTGTGTACCCCTAAAGCTGGGTGCGGCCCTGACCAAAGAAGGTGGCTAGTTCAGTCAGAATTGCTTTGGATGAATGGATGGGCGGATGGATGGGTGGACACGGGGGTGGATTGCTCATGGGTGGGACAGATGAGTGATGGCTCTAGAGGTGAGTGAGTATTTACTCTCCATGTATTTTAAAATCTGTTATCTCTGTGGTTCCATGTCTATGTGTGCCTGTAGGTTTTCCTGTGACCTTGATTGTCCTTGTCTAGCACTACTTGTTTGGTTGCTGGGAAGTAGTGATGCCACGGTGATTCTTTCATTGCTGAAGGAACCAAGGATTTAAAAGCCAAGTGGAAAGGAAGGTTGGCATTCTTTGTAGGCCTCTTTTTTCTCCTAGTTAGGATCATGGTTCTATGGAGAGTTACACACTCTGTGTACACCCCATTCCCCGAACTTGCACTGTAGAATGGAACCCTGCATGGAAGGACTTTATTCTGGTGACTCAAAGAATGGAGGTTTTGACTTCATGTGCTTCTCTTACCGATAAAACAGGTACCACATTCAGAAGCAAAGAGGCTCATAGGAATTAAGTCCTTTACTGTTCAGTTGTCACTGAGAACACAAAGCCATAAGGACAAATTGAAGGCCTCAGGTACAAAAATGAAAGCCAGATAAAGAAAACCAAGTCCCTGGCACTGGCCTCTCTAATAGGACCCTGACTTTCCTGCCTGTCTTAATACTCAGCTGTGATCCTGTTGTTTTAGGGGAGGGTTGTGCCAGTGGTCTTATGGGACAGCTTTGTTGTGGCTGCTGGAGATACATAACTATTAGAAGAGATGAGGAAAGGGACTCGGTGGGTGGGAGACCAACAATGTGCTCTTGAGAGACTAGCAGCCAAGGAAGAAAAGATCCCTTGAGGATGCCTTACAGAAGATAGATTGTCTGTGGGCGATTCCAGGATCCTCCCAGGGTACCCAGATTTCCTGTGTGCTGATAAACATGAGAAGTGGTGAATTTAAATGTGAATATTCTTGTGCCACCAAGGACTTTTTCAAAATGTAGACAATGCTTTAAAGGAAAATCACAAACTTTGTAATATTCCACTGCCATTTAGTGAGTTGCTTTTGTAAAAGTCTCGAGAAGAAATCTGATAGAAATAACCAGGAAATGACAGTGGCCTGGCCTCAGTGTGAGTTTATGTGCAATACTTATTTCATTTTGTTTCTCCCAATAATAAATCTGAAAGATCAATTTGCTGTCAGACTTCCTTATAGGTATACAATGCTTCATACATTAACAACTACTTTCATACCTACCAGCTCACCAAATTCTCACAGACGCTGATATTATACTTCTAGGATTTCAAGTAGTAGATAACTCCAGCTAACATATGTTTATTTTGTGTGTTTTTTGCGTTTTTATTTATTTATTTATTTTTGGTCTTTTTGAGACAGGGTCTCGCTATGCAGTTCAGGCTGGCCTTGAGCTCACTTTGTAGCCCAGTTTGGCCTCAAACTTGCAACAGTCCTCCTGTCTCAACCTCCTGAGTGCTGGGATTACAGGCGTGCATCACCATACCTGGCCAGCTAACATAAGTTTGAAAAGCACAACTTTTAGAATGTCACAAAGAGTCGAACAACAGTATAAATTAACAGTAGACATTAAAATCTTTAATAGTGAGCCCTGAAATGTTCAACATTAGTGGTCATTTGAGAAATGCAAATTAAAACTACACTGATATTCCATCTCACCCTGGAAAGAATGGCTATTATCAAGAAAACAACTAATAAATGCTGGCACGGCTGTGGGGAAAAAGGAACCCTTCTCCACTGTTGGTGGTAGTGTAGACTGGTGCAACCGCTGTGGAAGTCAGTGTGGAGATTCCTCACAAAACTAGGGTTAGAGGTCCCATTCAACCCAGCTATTCCCCTTCTGGGTATCTTTCTAGAAGAACTGAAAGCATCATACTACAGCAATATATGCGCTCCTATGCTTATAATGGCAGTACAGTTTGTAAATAGCTCAATCTTGGAAGTAACCCAAACGCCCATTAACTAATGAATGGATGAAAAAGATGTGGCTTTTTTAATATAATGGAGTATTACTCAGCCAAAAAGAAAGATAAAATTGAGACATTTATTTCTAAATGGTTGAACTTTGAGACCATAAACATAAGTGAAATAAATCAGACATGTGTAAATATCATAAAAAATGTAAATAAGAACATAAGTGTACAATAGATATTGTGAAAGAAGAAGAAACTGTTCAAAAGAAAAAGGGAAATAAGGAGGGGTGAGGGAGAAAGGAAGGAAGAGAAAGAAAAAACTGAGAAGAGAAAGATAAAATGAAAAACAAGCTTTGCAAATGGGGCAGGGAAGGGGGTTGGAAAAGAAGGGATGGGAAGGGGGAAGAAAAGAGGAATTAAGATATATCCTGTACAGATACAAATTCCCTGTAATGAATGTGGTCATGATGTATACCTAAATTATACCAATAAACTTAAATAAAAAAGAAAAAATCATTCAGAAAACAGTAAGCCCTAAAAGCCCAATTCATTTATTCAATAGAAGTGTATTTCTTCCTCCCACCACAGTGCAACTCAGCCTGCAGGAGGAGCGAACGCTCTGTTCCTCTCAATCTTTCAAGGACCCAAGCTTGCTTCACGCTGTGCCATCATCTTCGACTCCCAGGTCACTGTCAAAGCGGAAGTATGGCTTTGGCTTCCCCCCACCTCTACTTAAAGTCTTGAAATTCTTCAATCCCTTCACAGCACTTAGCCTATCTGACACCATCTCTTATCTTGCATATTGCTAGAATAAATGCTCCACAAGGCAGACGCCTGCTTTATCAGTAGAGCTTCTCTACTACCTATATTGTTTCTGGCAGAGAGAGGGATTTTAAAAATTGCTGAGTGAATAAGCAAGTGAATAAATGATTGTTCCTGTTCAAAATTCCAGCTTGGCAGCTAAGACTTCCTTTTGGCTCAGGCTGGGTCAGAAATAACCTCTATTGTCACCATCTATGGCAAGGAGTACTCACCATCTAAGGCAACTATCAGTGGCCCACTGCTATAAACTGAAATGGTTTCTAAAGAAATCATTGAGCTTGGCAGGTACCTTAAAACTGTGCTACCTCAAAGCATGGGCCAAATTAGAAATATTGGCTCTTGGCCTTTCTGACTTAGATGTAATGAAAACATGTATTGTAGCAGTATCTTCAGGCAGTTATTGTTTACCATAAAGGATGAGAAGCACTGCCCTGGAAATGCTGTGAACTAGTTTTAATACTACAGTGGCTCTCTAAGTTAGAAGGGCTCTAGTCCCAAACTACCCCCAGAATCCAAGTGAGGATACGTGACTTGGCCAGTGTCACAGAGTTAAAAATGACAAGGCTGAGATTCACGCCAAGGCTTCTGAGTCCAAGTCCCTTCACCCTCGATATTCTTTCTACTCTGGTGCTGTGTCTTTGGGATAGACCTATTTTCTCCCACTAATGAGAAAAAATTAAGAAGGGGAATAAATAGCAAGAAAGCAAGCCTCATTTAAATGGTGGTTAATGATTTCAAGAATTGATTTGGTTTAGAAAAGGAAATAAGCACTTATTGCTTAAAGTGCATTTGATAAAATGTTTTTCCCCCATTACATATTAAAGAACTCTCCAAGTAACGTAATGAATGTTTATATTTCATTTATTCAGCAATTAAGCATCTTAGCATTTTAATAAGCATTTATAGCTCTTATTAAGAATTATCAAGCATCTCATTTGGGTCAATGATTTCTTCCTTTTACAAACTTTTGAAACATCTCATTATTAGTGATCATGCTTTTTCGGTACTGATTGCTTAGATAATGCCGACTAAATCTGTACTATTCGGAGTGTCCTGGCCAAAGGCTGCCTATTCTGGGTTCAAGCCTTGGGGACTTAGAGGACTCCCCGAAATGCTGCAGCTTATATCTGCCACTTTGTTCTTTCGTGTTTTCAGGAATTGAGTAACATGAATATCAACTATAATTAGGAATTTTTAAATTGCAAGTCATAGAAATTCACCCCAATATAGCTGAAGCAAAGGTAGAAATGACTGGCTTTTGTAACTGAAAGCTCAAAAAGATGTATCTACTTTAGGGCCTTAAACACCATCATTTGTTTCTTTACCCTTCATTTCACTCTACTATTGTTTGGCTGACCTCCATATAGAAACCTGATGGACTTTGTTGGCAGTGAAAGCCAACAGCTTCCCCATATCCTAGGTCTTTTTAGACTCTTTTTCTTGTTTGTTCTAGTAAAAGTCCTAGCAAAGACTCTGATTGGGTAATCGTGGGACACGTGTCCACTTCTTAACCAATCACTGTAGCTGGGAGATACCATTCTGATTTATTGAGACTCTATTGTTATCCAACTCAGGATGATATATTAGTAATAAATTGCAGTTGTAAGAAATTACCATAAACCTAGTGATGTGAACCCATGCATATTTTTTCTCTTATAGTTGTATAGGCCAGAAATTGAAATCACCTTCACTGGGTTAGGGTCAAGATATTAGTCTGGTCCCCCATGGAAGAACCAGGGGACAGTCATTTCCTTGCTTTCCTGGCTTCTAGAGCTATATGCATTGCATACCATGGTTCATGGTCCCTTCTTCCTCCTGTCAGTAGCGTAGCAGCTTGAAATCTCTCTTTGCTTCCATTGTTGTCACATGGCCCTTTCTCTCTTTTGAGTTCCATCTCCCTTTGCATATTTCTTATAAAGATATTCGTGAGTACATTTGGGGCCTGCAGATAATCTAGGATGATCTCCCATCTCAAGATCCTTAATCACATCTTCAAAGTCTCTTGTGCTGTGTAAGGTAACATTCCTAGGTTCCTGGAAATAGGAAATCTTCAAATATGAGTATCTTTGGGAGGTGTTATTTGGGAGGAGCCAACCACAGTTGGGATTTCATCCCACTCAACCACCACACA